TGTATCCTTGAGCTTTAAATATAAAAAATTAGGTCTTTTTTTTTATTGCTCCGGCTGTAGACCTCCATGAGCTCTAAGATTTCATGTGAGGGTTCCTAGAGTCTTCCACCACCTTTCTCAATCAAAACCCGACGCTTAGAGCTCGCCGGCGGTGATCTTTAGGCGAACCCGAGGCTTGGATCGTTCCAAGACCGATTCCGGCTGATCGGAGGAGTTTTGGACCTCGACGTCAACTAAGAACCTGTTCGTGAGGAGTCTACGAGTTCAACAAGCCCAAGATCTCCCGAATCCACCAAGTGGATTGAGGTAAAAGCTCAACCCTAGTCTAGGACACTTAGGGTTATTTAGCTTTTCATTAAGTGACTTTAGAATTTACTACTTTTCATTCGATGTAAATTTGTATGTAATAATTATTAAGAGTTGTGAAAACAAAAAGAAATCTGGGAGGAGAGATCTAAGGAGTCCAAGGAGGAGAGATTTAAAGAATCTAAAGAGAAGACATCCAGAATACTGAAGATTGAAGACCCAATATCTCACTCAAAGTTGTTGGCGTCTGTCATAGGTTTAGAAATATGGGTTGTTGGCAGTGGTGCCCCGTCACTTTATTTTCTGCATACCCTGGGTTGTAATAAGGGCAGTTTGCCTATGGACATTTAGTTGATTATTCTGGATTTATATTGATGTATTTTCCTGATGTGTGCAGTAGAAATTACCTATTTTTCTTAGGTTTCTTTCTTGCATGTCGCTTTTATTTTCGCCTGGACTTCGTTAGGTTCTCTAAGGACTATAAAATATTTTTTTCTACTCTAATTTCTAAAAATTTAAGTCTAAATAATATAGAAATTTAATGAATCTAGGGAACTACCGGAATCGTTCGGGGTCGCATACATGATGTTGCATTCTTCTCTCTCCTTCTCATGAGACATCTTCCTGCCTGCGGGTAGAGTTCGGATAATCTGGCGTATGATGATGAAGTGCCGGTCCTAGGGAGACTTAGTCTTTTCAAAAAATTATTTTCTATAAGTCTGTTTTTAAAATCTAAAACATTCATGATTTGCCTCTTCAACTTGCATGCATTGCATTAGAAATCAATTAAATAAAATTTTTAATTGCATTAGTTAGGAGCATTTACCCAACATAAGTTCATGACCAATTAGGAAACTCTTTAGATGTCGGTCCTATTTCCAAAGAACTATACCATCCACCCATCTTTCATAAATGACTTGATATCATGGTTTTAAAGTGATTAGGTGGTTAGTTGGCTCCCCAATCCAGGCTGGGGTAAGCCCAATATCTTACCCATGTGATTGATTGTTTGATCTTTTTTTCTCCAGTTTTTCTTTAGTACCATAGAGCATCCGAATGCTGGTATGAGCCACGCATGTTGACTGAGCCTTTTTGGGACCTTTCTTTCTTTTGAGTAGGACTTATTAGTCTATACCATTGTGTCAATCTCATTTTAGGAAGGGATAATGTATGATCCTTAATCGAGAGTTTTCTCGAGCTCCGGCCTGGGATGTAATTAACCACGGGGGCTTGCGCCCGTGTGAAACTCGGTCCCACATCTACTAAACCCCACTCGAGCTGTTGTATCGGGCGGGGGAAATCATTGACTAGGTCGAGTATATTACTACCCATCGGGGTGTGTTGGCGACAGCCTCTATCCTCAATGGTTAGTCGTATGCACGATCCAATCTGCCCTTCCATCGACCTATTCGTGTCGAGTATAGAGCCCTACGATCATTTTGTCCTAATTGATAGTGCGGTCGTACCCTCTGCGTTCGTACCCCACGAGCGGTACTCTTTCGGAGGTCCACAGACCTGTCTAGTAAAACAGTCATAAAACACAACTGGAATCCGACCTGTATATTAAACGAGTAAACTTGAATCCAAAATTTTCGTGCTAAATTCAGGACTGGTTGACATGCTAGGTCAATCATTGACACCCAGAGGATGACACAGGGCCCCCCTAAAATATTTTTTTTATTTAAAAAATTATTATATGATTTTTTTGGTAAATTGTCCTCCTCTTTTTTCAGTCATTATTACAAGGATTCTTAGGCAATTCCCTGCCCCTCCTCTCTAAAAGTTTTAAAATACTATGATCTTTAGGCAATTGTCTCCAACAAATAGTAAATATAATTCATCATTTTATATTTGAAGCATACAAGGATCAAGGACATAAACAAATAGTGGTTGATATTGACCCATTTTCTTGTAGTAAATAATCGTTTTAAAAAAATTTTAATATATTTACTGATATTTTACTTTAATTTTATTATTTACGATATTCATATAATTCTCCATAATCATTAACATATCCGATATCACTCTATTATTTAATCGATATTAATATATCACCCTAATTAAATAATATATCTTAATATTAGAAAATATTTTACTAACATAAAATTTATTCTATTTATTAAAATTTTAAATAATAAAATTATGTTAAGGTTACTAGAAGCATTGGTTTACCCTTTGGATGTCTATCTTATTATGTAGCCACATATATAGCCACATGTGTCCCTTGTTTTTCACTTTTTCTTTTTTCCTTTCTCTCTTAAGGTTACATAGAAGCACTAATGCAATTGATTGATATGAAATAAAGTTATTCTTCTTTTTTTATCTTTTACTCTGATGTTGTTGGGTTTGTTTCGTCTACCTTAACAAAAATCATAAAAAATATATTAATTTATTTATATAAAAAATATATTAGTTATATTAATCCTTCATGCTAATTTAAAATAAATATTAATTAATTTATATGAATTTATTGAGTAGTATAAAATCGATCGTAATAGAACAAGCGAGTTTTATGTCTTAGATTTGTGCAAATATCATAACACATATAGACGAAATAAGAGAATGTAAGAGACACTTAAATTTTTATGTAAAAGATTAAGGAATGGGAAAAATTATTGGGCCTAACTCTTGTGAAATGATTGCAATGAGTGAGTGTTGATTACAATGATTTACTAGCCTCTAAAATTAGAGAAAGCAGGATTATAGGAGTATGAGTTGCTAAAGGAGAAGGTCGCAGAGCTAGTTAGGATGAGAGGCATTTAGATGGTTGTGGTCAAGTAATAGAGGTTCAAAGATGATAATTAGGCGATGACGGTCCAATGATGGTGTTCGAGCGACATCGATTTGCATACGATAGTCAGGCAATGGTGGTCCATCAATAAATATTGAGTAGCTGCAAACCGACAATTGTGGAACAATAGCAGCAATCCGAAAATGCTAGTTCGGTGACAACAATTCAATAATAAAGGTCATGGTGTGATAGTGATGTCTAATGACAACATTGGTCCAAATAAAAAGATTGGAAAGGAAAGATCTGGTGATTGGAAAGGAAAATCTGGTGACATAGGTCGAATGATGATGGTTCGATGATGATAGTAGTCTAATAAGGAGGTCGAGCATTTCTTGTTTGACAGCAAAGATCGAGTGGCTGTAGTTAGATCGTGGTCCGACTGCAACATATAGAAGTTAGTCCAATAGCGATGGTCAGGCAATGGTTCGACGATAGTAATCAGGCGATACCCCTACAATAGTGTTTAGTGGAGCTTTAGGATTCTTCGAGTCTTTAGCTCTCTTGAATCTCAAGTTATGGGTTTCCATTTCATGCATAGAGTGACAACATACTTGTATATTTTGAAAATGACATGTTACATAAATTTAGCCAAAGTTTAAAATACTCTATTGGGCGATTTCAGTCCAATGATGGTGGTCAGGCCACCAATCACTATCAAAGCTCCACTCGACCGCCGAATACCACTGAAACTTCGCTTGTTTGCTGAACTCTACTGGACCTTCTCCCAGCTGCTGCCACCAGACTTCAGACCTCTGTCATCCAACCATGATCATTATAAACTCTTGAGTATCCATATGGAGTTCGACCAACTCTCCAAACTATTGTAATTTCACCGTCTCTAACTTAAGGGGCGGGCCAACATTTACAACCAACTCAAAACATAGTGGAATCTTCTCACATGGGTAAGGCCATGTGGTTTTTTTCCTTTTTGAGTTTTCCAAGTAAAAATTTTTTTATGTCTCTTTGCTCTCTCTCGAGCTATCTATTTGTGAACTGGATATCCATGCATTGCTAATACGAAAAACTATCTCAATCTATAGCCGCAAATATACTAGCCCACAACAAATTTGTATTGAAATCAATTTCAAGCTGATTTTTATGTGACATACAATAAACAATTTGATTTTCTTTTATTTGATTTTAATTTCAATATTTACTTACAACAATCAATTCATTTTTTTATATTCAATATTTCAAAAAAAAAACCTTAAATCAAACCATATTTAAATATGTTGTATTTTAAATCATCAAATAAAAGGTAAAAAAATAATTCCAAATTAGCGTAAAAACCATTTTCATACTAATAATATGCGTAAAATTAAATCAAATCCATCAATGTCCTAACAAATGCTTTCTGTTCATAAACTAAAAAACAAATGCTTTGATTTGGTCAATTTAATCTTTTTCTTTTTTTAAATAGTTAATCCGATTCGATTATGAATCACATGTCTTATAAAAATAAATTAAAAAGAAAGAACTTTCCCTTATTTTAGAAAGACTAAAATACCCCCACCACAAGTATCCATTCACCACGTGTCGCTTGCACGTACACAGGCATAACGTCTCTTTATAAATATAAAAAATACATATATTTTTTAGAAGTTATTAAATTTATACTAAAATTAATATTTAATTATAATAAATTAATTTTAGTATAATTTAAGGGTAATTATATCAAGATTTTTTTAACGCAATTTTTTAATTAAAAAGTTATATTAAATAACAAAAACGGCAAAAAAACACGCGCGCCGCGGTCGCCTCCGCGACGACTTCGGCCCGAGGGAGCCGACCCGGTCCGCAGCCTTCTCCGACGCACAAAAAACGCGTGCCCCACGTGCTTTTTTTCCGTTCATTCTTTCCCTGCACGCAAATCATCCCTATAAAAATAGAAACCCACCTTCCCTTCTCTCATTCATAATTCGTGTCTCTTTAGCCTTCTTGTTCGCAGCACAAGCAATTCGTTAATGGAAGGAAGTAATTCTTTCATGCAGCTGCAGCTCAGTCTCTGCTCCAACTCCGACGATCACCGGCGGCAACAAATGACGATTTTCTACGACGGCCGTGTTTGCGTTTCCGACGTCACAGAGTTGCAAGCGAAAGCCATTCTAGAAATGGCAAAGAAGGAATTAAGGCTGGATGAGAAACAAGGAGGTGGAAATAGACAAGAGGAGATTAACACTGCAGCTTTGCCGGCGCCAGCGACGCAGTTGATGAGTCCGGGGCAGTCTATGAAGAGATCGTTACAGAGGTTTCTTCAGAAGAGGAAGACGAGGATAGCCGAAAGTTCTTCACCTTATGGATTTCGGCAGCCATTGCTGCAGTTGTTTTCTTCTTAATTTCTTCTTCTTTTATGTGGATTGGAGAAATGATTTGGAGTTCTTTTAGGGTATGTAATTTTGTATTGGTTTGGTTTATTTAGTTGTGGGGTTAGGTAGCTGCTTGTTGTAGAAGAAGAAACTGATAGAGAAAATATTTTTATGGCGCATATACGGCCTTGTTCATCACTGTCTTCCCTCCCTCCGCTTGATCTGCTATGAGGATTCTCCTCAGCCTCGCAAGTGATCTTCTCCTCGATCTATGCTAAGTATGCTTTAGACGCTGTGCAACTACAGTTACATGAAAATGTTCAGTTAGATGAAAGCATGGGCGGGTTGCCCCCCCTCAAAATTGAGGCTGGTTCCGCCCCATGAAAGTTACCGTTTCATAACGGTAATAGTTCGATAAATTTAGCTCTTGATATGAAGGAGAGAGTCATAACCTGAACCTCCAAATGTGGACAAACTTAGAATTAACAATTTTTTGTTGTATTGTGTATGGGTGTCGAAATGGATTTTTGGGTTTGAATTGGGACAAATCTAATCTCAACTTTAACTTAATTATCGAACTTGAACTCAACCGAATTAAAAAAAAAAAATCAATCATAAATCCAGATCTGCACACTACCCACCCCTTATTCTGGTTGACCCAATCAAACCTGACTTGTTGCCCGTTGGTGCAAGCAAGCGAGCTTCGAGCACGGGCCGCGAGGGCAAGGTAGGCGAGTGTGACTGAGGTGCTGATTGTTTTCGCGGCGTCATGCAAAAGGGGGGATCGATGCGGGTCGATTTTGGCCGATTAAGGGTTGACCTAAACATGACCCAATTTCTAAAACGGGTCAAAAATTATGACATGCTAGCTAATTAAATCCGACATGCTTGTTAAACGGCTCGTCTCGAAGCCAAATTTTTTGGGTTGGGTTCTGATTGGATTTTAAGTCATGTCATTAATTGACACTCCTAGTCATATGTTAGTTAAAGAATTAATTAGTAACACACTTATAGGTTCTAAAGGAATTAAGATGAGATGTTACGAGTAAAATCTCAATGCAACAAACGTTAAGGCTTTTCTAATTATTAGGAAAAACAAAATAATTCATAATAACTGTATGTTATCACAAATATTGTTATGTGTTGGAACATTCATGATGGTAGTTTTATAACATGATCTAACACACGTACATATAAAATAGGTGAACCTAAGTGACACCAGTGTGTTTAAATGAAAATTGCGAGAAGAGAAAAAATAATGGGGCATAGCTCAATTGAAATAATTCTTATATGTGAGTCATAGTTACAAAAATTTGTTTTTTCTCCAAATTGGAGATTGCATGTAATAAGAGTATGAGTGGTTGACCTATATATCCTCGTGTGAGAGAAGTGAAAAATATTGCTATGGCGATAAGTGATGAGAAGTGCTTTGATAGTTGTGGCTAAATGATGGAGATTGATGATAGAGGTTGGGCGACAAGGATATAATGATGCTGGTCTAATGATGAAGATCAGGCAATGATATTTTTTATGGCCATGGTTTGCTATTAGCAGGGCAACAATAGTGGTCGGGTTATAATACGCTAGTGATGGTGCTTGGATAACGATGGTGGTTTGATGATGAAGGTCAAATGACATTGGTCCTTTGATAGTGGTCTGAAAGCAGTGATTTGATGCTGGTAGTCGAGTTACGATGGTGATAGGGTGGTGGCAACGTACCTAATGAAAGTGGCCTTGTAGTGACGATTTGACAATGGTGGTCATGAGGTTGTGGCCAGATGATGGTGATTGAATGGAAGTGGCCGGTCTGACAAAGGCGATCGAGTTGCTACAAGAGGTAGTCCGATGGATAGTCAAGTAGAGTTTCAAGACTCCTTAAGCCTCCAAAGTTTTCTCCAATCTCCTATTTTTCTTTTCATGCAGAGAGTAGGAGTTTATTTATGTTTTTGAGAAAACACTCTTCATAAATATAGTAAAAATCCAAATCACTTATTGTACGACCCAAATTGATTCATTTGCCTATATATCAATCGTTCTTTTAATATTCAAATACCTTAATAAGATTTAATTATGCTTCAATGTTTGATCTAAAGTCACTTTAGACTCAGATTTGATCATTATTTGTGTTAATGAGTTCATTCTATCAATACATTCATTAACTGTAAGTTTGTAAAAATCGGAGTTCGAATGATCATGAATTTAATTGTAAAATTTCTCAATCTAAATATACATTGAGATTCTTAGTGGATTAATAGAATTTTTTTGGCGTCATATCAAATATAATTTCAAACAATACTAAATGACTCCTCTAATTTCCCCCCCAAAAAATAATTGAATGATTGATTAAAAATTTTAAATAGATTTCTACGTATTTTTCATAATTTGATTCTTAAAAATAAAGCCTTAATAGCGAATAATTTTTAAAGCATTTTTATAACGTACGGCGTAAAAATCACTACAAGGAATTTACAAATGACAGGCTTTTTTTTTTTTTGGTATTGTTAATTGCCTAAGTGTGTGTGTATATATATATATATATATAGTGGAACTAATTAAGACTTTGAAAATTGATATGTCATCAAAATTATCTTGATCGTACATGAATCCCGACATATATTCAAATTGGAAATTTCCGAAATTTAATATGAGGCCATCCAAACCCCAATTTTATTAAACTTATGGTCGAATTGAACATCTCAAGAAGACAAATCCATTGACACTAAAATCAGTCAAATCCAAGGCCAAATGTGTCCAAATCAAGAGACCGAAGGATATTTGGAAACTTCAAAACTTTCATTTGATGCTAGATGATTTCCAAATATGACATGCTTATAGTCGAACCGAGCAGCTCAAAGAGATAAATCCAACAAGCCCATGATAGCTTAATTCTGAAATCATTTGGGTGGAGATTGGAGAGAGCTATGGGACTTTAAGGATCAAAGAGTTTTACCTAAATAACACTGTCGGCAAACTCCTATCAACCACCGCTGAACCACCGACAGCCTTTGGACCACTGCCCGTCCGCCCACCATCATCAGCTGACTAAGGTCCCTTTAAGCACCGTCAAACACGAATTGTTGCCCCTTCGATCATTGTCTCTCACCACTACAGTCCCTCTCATGCGTACTAATGGCCTTCCACCACCGTCGCCTGACAACTACATTCCCCTCGACCTCTATCACCTGCCGACTATGATCCCTTTGACCACGTACCTCCACCCACCAAATACAATTCCTCAGGCCATTGTCTCCAGTCGCCTATGATCCCTCCAACCACGATCGCAAACTACGGTCCATCTTATAACTGTTGTCCACCGATTACAATCCCTCAAATCATTATCGCATGCCGACTACAATCCCTTTGACCACTGTCGCTCACCAACTATGGTCCCTCCGACTACCATTTCTAGCCCACTACGGTCTCTCCGACCTCCGTTGCTCACCAACTAAGATCCCTCCTACCTCTGACCACCATCTCCCACCAATTATGGCCCTACCAACTAAATGAATAGCCCAATATTCTCTTGAGAATAGCTCTCAACCCCGGATATGTAATATGCTATATATGATGTACATTAAGCTAAAGCTTTCCTCCGAGGAAATCACATCATTTGTAATCAACAAGTACTAGTGGATTCTTTTCAATTTGGTAGGCCTGCAATTTTTCTCCTTTTTTTTTTAGGATTTTTCAAGTAAAAATTATAGTGTCTTATAACTCTCGCACCCCTCTCTCTTTATCTATATATTTAATTTATATTCGTTCAAAGCTATGGCATTAATCTCTTTATCTCTCTACCGTTGCGAGTGTTCCACGACACTACAAAAATAATTTTTAAAAATATTCATCAATTAAATTAACTGCAAACTCAGCATACAATTATTATGAAATATAATTATTGTGATTGTTTGAGAGTGTAAGTGCATTAGTGGTTTTCACTTAATAAATGAGGCTTCTGCCAATTTTTATAGGGTTCTGAGACGGTTGCAATTTTTTTTATAAAAATTATTGTAAAGCTGATGTGGAGAAAATAGTTTTTTGAAATTGTTCAAAGTAGTAATAAAAACAAATGAAATTGTTCAAAGTGGTGAATGGATAAAGGTTGGTTTAGATAAAATACTCGAAAAATAGAAAGAGTTAGGAGAAAAATAAGCATGATATTTGTTAATATTTTCTATTGAATGTATTAGTGTTTTGAGTTCATGATGTTTCTATGTTTTATTTTATATCATATGTTTGGGCGATAAAGATTGGAAGATGTGCAATGATGGTTGAAAGACTATAGTGGTGGTTGTCTATTGATAGTGTTCAGGTGAAATGTCAATATTACTCAAATTTCTAAACTCTCTTGAGGCTATATTTGTGACAATTAACTTTATTACTGCTTCATTTTTCATATCGCAACTACCGTTTTCTTAGCCACTATTTTTCATTGCTTTCAATAAATTTTTGTGCTTGGAAGCTGCTACCTCTGCAGCAGCTTTTAAAAAGCTATTTTTTCACAACAGCTTTATAATCATCTTTATAAAAAATTATAGCCGTTCCAAATGAGCAATTATTACATCCGGTGTCCAAATGTGTTCAGAGACCAATAACCATGTGCCACGTCACCTAAAACTTAATATTTTGGACTCGGTATGCATTCGGATCGTTCGATTTTTGACCGGATGTAATAATTTCTCGTTCCAAACAAAGTTCAATTTAAAAAAAAAAATGAGCTTATTCATAAATTTTTTTAGAATAATAAGCCTCATAAAAAATAATTAAAATCCGAAATAATCCTTCCAATAAATGGCCCGCGTCAGGAATGTTTGCTCTACTAAGCAACCGCGTAGCTATAACTAAACGTGCTTTGAAAAATGAAAATGCCAGCTTTATTTAAGTTCACACCCTTTTTTTATTATAAATAATTAAATATAGGTAAAAATTGACCTAAATAGGGTCATGGCCTTCCACTATCTATTCTATGGGTACACGCTTCTCGATTAGCGATATTGGCCTGTTCATACTTCTGATGTAAATTGTTTCAGGAAGAATATGCAAATAACAGTACTAATGCCGCCCTAATAATATCTGTGCCACTGAACTAACCCAGGTTTTTGTTTAAGGGACATTTAGGCCATCGAAGGCAAACTCATAGATCAATTATATGCATATGACTCATATTTAAGACCTCTTAATTGA